CCCCCACCTTTTCCATTATTTTAATGGAAAAATTGACCCTGCATAGCACGTTTTCACTTATAACAAAAATTTTCAGAAATGTATCTATAGTGTTAAATGAGGAATTACGGTACATAATAAACCTGGATAAAGAAGAATACAGGAAATGCTGTAATTTCTGCAAAACTCATATATTACAAACCCAGGAAATTCTAAGTTAAACTTAAGTCCAAACGTGTTGAATTACAAAATATACAGTTAGGGCACCCAAACAACTGTCACTCTAGCCACTAGTGACCCAGGTAACAATCATGTGATTATTTCAGTATTTTAGCACAGATTAAGCTAACTTTTAAAGATGTATTTTCTCCCTCTGCCCCATGAATAGTAAACAGGAAACACAAGGGAAATGCTACCATGTGATATTTCTAATGATTTGAAAGTAAGCAGTATAAAACTTATGTCATTTTAAAAACCTTAGCTCTTAGGCACAGATTCACTGTTATGCTCAGCCAATTTAAGTGTCACTGGAACAGCAAACGTAACCACAGAATTTTGGCCAATTAAACTGGGTTAACAGTTGTTTTGCATCATCAAAGCACTACTCAGCAACCAAAGTGCAGACCCTACTTTCTCCTTTCTGTCCTCCATATTCTCATACAGACAAATCCTTCTAGCTCTCCTTCTTGAGTAACAAATTATGGATTAATATGAATACTGAAAAATGTTAAGAGATCAAGTTATTTAGTTTCAAAATTAATTGTTGCACACTTGCCTTCTTCTAAAAATGTGAATTCTACTATGCATCTGGATAACCAACATTTAGGACCAATATTTTAATACATATCTACAAAAGCAACCCAATCCAGTAAATCTAAGTAAAATAATATGCCTCAATTCTGATATCATGAGAATTTACTGGCAGAAATCACAAGGGAATACCAATGCAAAATAACCAAAGATGAAAACAGATCTTTAAAACCACAGAAATCAGGGCAATCTGTGCTTGTGTCCTCCCATTATATCACCCTGATGCACCTAAGCACTGCAGATTTCTAACTAGAAACAAGGAAGCTAATTTATATTTTTTCTTATATGGCAAGAATGCATATTTATTGCAATGCTTAATCCATTAATATCTGTGAAGCACAGTGGAAGGAACTACTATTATTAAACTGTGATGCAATACTTAATTAAAATAGCTAAAAATGCAATTTCAGCTTTAACCAATTTTTCTGTATATGGTCTCAAGTTGAATATATGTTTGTGTACATATACACATTTCATAAAAAAGCTGGATTGCTGTATCATAAAATGGCTCCTTGCAGTGTTGTGTAACGGAGGAAAACAGCACAAAATGGCCACCCTACTGACAAAATGACTGAGCTTTGCATTACACAGTTTACTTAACAGTTACCTGGAACCATCCAGAATGACTGCAAATGTAACATCTGTACTTAATCTTAAAAAATGAAATAGCAATTTATTAAAATCCTTTTCTGAAAATTCATCTAAAAAGGAAAATGGTTTCTGCTTTTTTAAATCCTAGTCCATTTATAATAGAAACAAAAAACAGGACTATGTAGTACTTTAAAGACTAACAAGATGGTTTATTAGGTGATGAGCTTTCATGGGCCAGACCCACTTCCTCAAATCAAATAGTGGAAGAAAATTGTCACAACCATATATACCAAAAGATACAATTTAAAAAATGAACACATATGAAAAGGACAAATCAAATTTCAGAACAGAAGGGGGATGGGGGGGGAAGGTAAATGTCTGTGAGCTAATGGTATTAGAGGTGATAATTGGGGAAGCTATCGTGGTAATGGGTAAGATAATTGATGTCTTTGTTTAAGCTTAGGTGTAAAGTATCGAATTTAAGCATGAATGACAGTTCAGAGGATTCTCTTTCAAGTGTAGTCTTAAAAGGTCTTTGAAGCAGGATGCAGGTAATCAAGTCGTTGAGACAATGTCCTTTCTGGTTGAAATGGCAAGAAACTGTTTTTTCTTTGTGATCCTGTCTGATATCTGTTTTGTGGGCATTGATCCTTTGGCAAAGTGTCTGAGACGTTCCTTTTCATATTTGTTCATTTTTTTAAATTGTATCCTTTGGTATATATGGTTGTGACTACTTTCTTCCACTATTTGATCTGAGGAAGTGGGTCTGGCCCACGAAAGCTCATCATCTAATAAAACATCTTGTTAGTCTTTAAAGTGCTACATAGTCCTGTTTTTTGTTTCAGCTACACCAGACTAACATGGCCACATTTCTACCATTTATAGTAGGTTAGCTATGTTGAGTTCTCAATGGTTAACAAAATATAACTATGTCAAATTGGCCACACTCAGAAGGAACATTCTCATATTTAGTCAACCAATTTCCTTAAAATTTTGTATGGCCTTACAGATTTGTTCCTGGAAGACACAACAGTCAATGTAACTCATTGGCATCTTTCTATTTATTTACAGAATAAAGGGCTGAAAATAAAATATTTCACAGCTGGACAGGACACTAGTATATTTTTAAGAACATACCTCATTAAACATTATTTGCATAAATGAGAATTACAGTAATATGGACCAAGGAAATAAGAAGAAGCATCCACATTTAACACCTAATATTGGTGTTTAATACTAATAAATACATCTGATCTAGATTATCTAAATACTGAACATTTTTAAAAACCGAGTCAATAGCTTGTGAATACATAGCCATAAAAATTGTAATTATCTTAAAAAATCAGCACTTCAGTCGTGCTAAACAAGTGACAAATCAAGAGCATGTGCACTAGAAGAAAACATCTTTTTAGAGTTACATTCTCTAGAACAGTAACACATTTTTCAAATAGTACATCGATTATATTGGTCACACCCTACTTTCAAGTAGGAATAAGGTATCCTCCGGAAAAGGGCTTATTTTCCGGAGAATCGCGTCTACACTGGCGCTTTTCTCCAGCAAAACCCCCGAGCCGGAAAAAAGCGGCAGCCATGTAAATGCGAATGCCGCGGGGGATATTTAAATCTCCCACGGATTTGCAATTCCGAAGTGTCTCGTTAGCATCCCTTTTCCAGAAAAGGATGCCAATGTAGACACAGCCTGGTTGTTGTCAAGATGTCCAAAGGGATCCCCACACTTCCATTCAAAATTTAGAGGATGGCAAATTAAGTTTTAAAATCACTATCCTTTATAAATTCAAGAGACAGATTTTAGTGCACACAACATATGAAACAGTTCAAAATATCACAATGGGGACTTCTTCAGTATATCTAGCAGATCCCCTTTAAAAAAAACATTTGTTACACTGTTTACAGCAAATGAGTTTCTATTAAAGCTGTAATTTTTCTTTGCACAAAACACACAAAAACACAATTTACTCTGAACTTCAAGGTGTCCCAACTTTACAAAACAAAACTGACATTTGTAATGAATGTACCAATACACACAAAATGAAATTTCCATATATAATATTAATGTTTGTGACAAACTAGTTGCAATTCAAAATAAGTAACATTTTATACCATTTTTCCTGTACATGAAAAAGTGATTTAATATTTACAGCATGTGCAAGAATCATATGGTTTTCAAATGTGTGAAAAATATTGCTATGACCAGCAAGATTCCTAAAACAAAAATTGAGACTCAGCAATTAAATAATTACATAAAGCACTGTGCAATAGTTAATCCTTATAATGTCATTGAAAACTCTTATAATTCCCATTTTACAGATGGGAAACTGACAGACATTACGACTGATCACATAGTAAGTAGCAAGCAGAACTGAACTTAGAACAAGAGAATTCCTGATCCTCAGTCTGATGCTCTTGTTATCTAACCATAGGATCACACAACAGAGTCTTTAATTAGACAAAGTAATGCTTATTTTTTACATTCTGAGGAAGTCTATATTTAATTTTTGTATTTAGCTGTCACTGTATCTTACTGAGATGAGAAAAAAATTAAGCTAGTATTAACTATAGCAGAAAATAAATATCTATTGGGTATTAACTTCTGTAAAAGATTTAACTGGATGAGTTAACTCATTTCACACAATACCAAAGATGTGGACTAATTCAAAATATCTTGTCAACAAAGAGAAAGTGTACTTGTACTATTCTTGCATAAAGTTATTCAGTTGAAAGCACATGGTTCATAAAAATGTTAGCTGCTCCTCTGATATTGATGTGTTTGCTTGTATCTGTAAAAACAACAAGGAGACCTATGGCACCTTAAAGACTCGGGGTATGTCTACACTAGCCCTTTAGTTCGAACTAGGGAGGCTAATGAGGGCGATCGAAATTGCTAATGAAGTTCATGATCAAGGGAACCTGCTGTTGGGACAAAAAAAAAAAAAGCCCCAAGTCACACCCCTTACGATACTTGTGTCTGTGAGTCCCGCCGCAGCCGCAGCACCTGCACTCCTGCCTCTTGCCGCTTCCGCTGCACATTCAAAACCAGAATTCAGTCCAGCAGCCTTTCCCCAGCTGCACACGCTGGGCTGTTATGCAAATGACACTCACATTCCCGCCCTGGTCTCTGGCCATGCCCTTCTGTGAGATCGGGGAGCGGCTGTGGGGGCTGTTTCATCGCTGGCCAAGCTGAATGTTGGCCATCTTGGAGGCATGCAAATCAGAAGCAGTATTATTTAAATGAGTGTGTGGCTCCGCCCCTGCTCAGGTACCCACGGAAGGGTACTGGTGGTGAAGTGTGGCAGCTGGTCACTATTTAAGGTGGAATAGAGCAGCGGCGCAGTGCAGCTTGAGACTTGGCTGTGCGCTTTGCTGATAGGTGCAGTTCGGTAGAGGGTTTCCTGCTACAGCCCTGTGTAGAGCAGGCTGTGTATGGCTGCAGGCCCCCCTGTGGGGAGTGGGGGATGGTTCCTGGTGGGGGGGATGGAGGGAGGGAAGAGCAGATTTGGAGCTAGACGGGGAGGAGGGGAGTTGTGGCTGGAGAGGAGGGGGGTGCAAAGTTGTGGGTGGGGGCTGTCTGAGAAAGGGGATGAGTTGGGGGAGAGGGGAGGGAATAGAAGCGCAGGGGTTGGCAGACAAAGGGGGTGCAGGATGAAGGGAGAGAGGTAGCTCAGAGTTGGGATGAGCTTCAGGATTGTGCCTGGCAGAAGTGGGGCGGGGGAGTTGGGCACTGGAACAGAGAAGCTCTCAGGCATGAGCAAGCAGTGTTAGTTCTGCATTGTCCTTAGCAAATCAGTGGCCCCTGTAGAGTTGCTGGCCTCTTCCCTTCTGAGACATGCAATGTGCTCAACAGATAGTATGGTAATCTTTGAGGCCAGCCCAACCCTTCAGAAGTCAGGACTTAGCCTCCCACACACACATGTCATCTGATGGGGTTCTTTATATGTGTCCTCTGAGTCCTGAGTCTGTAGGATGCTCTTGGGTAATGTCTGAAAGCATTTTTTTTTAGCCATAAGAGGGTTTGGTTTGGTTTTAATTAAAACTGGGAGTCTCTTCTAGTCACCTGCCTTCAGGAGCTGGGGCTAAGGAAAAAACACCAAATATGTTGAGAATTGGTAACACTGAAGTCAGCCCTCCTAGACGCCTTGTCAGGGACAAGGTAAGTTGCTTCTTGTGTTTTACAGAGGGACAAATGTATTCTAGCCTTTTCAGGACAGGAGCTGTGCCTTGTTGTTGCTGTGTACAGCACTGAGCTCACAGTGACTTGCATAACAAACAGCAGCAAGATTAAGTGAATTATGCAAGGTCACACAGCAAATTGCTGGCAGCCAGAAGCAGAGACCACAGTATGGAGTCCCTGTCTTTACTGTGCCTCTGACATATCCTCTCCCTATTTATCTTGATGACTGTTAAACTTTCTGTCCATAGTAGGGATCCACAACTAGACGTCTGAAGTTATCTTATCTTCAAGAAATAGTATCTATTGCAGATTTTTTAAATACAAAGCATTGTAAATTTGTTGAGCATTACTATGGTGAACTAGTGTATATATTGTAACTAACAGTTTTCTTGTTTTTTGCAGTACTTAATTTTTCTTATCAAAAGAATTCCATACAGGACCAATGCAAAAATATGTCCAGTTTTACTATAGATATGAGAAATTCCAGTTTAAGAGTGGCCATATTTAAATTGGTAGTTATTTTGTGAACACAGTACTAACACCTGTCTCGTCAGTCAAATACAATATATGCTGACAAAATTTCTGTCCCTTCGTAACATCTGTATGGTTATATAACCTACATGCTTTATACTGTAGCACTGTTTTTTTTTTAAATACATGCATATGCACCTCCCAATAAGAGTAAAGCCATGAGGAAGACATGCAAATTTTAGGAGTCTTCTGGCTTTGTATATGTGCAGAGGGTGGGGGCAATGGAAGCCTAAATATATACGTAAATAGGATATAAGAGTTTCTGAAGATGTATAGGAGATCCTCATAATTCCCTGAAAGGCCTTTTGCAGTGCTGCATATTCACAGGTCTCCTGTCCCAACCTTGAGGAGAGGGACTGTGGTTCCCGGCAGCTGCGGTAAGAAAGTATTATTCACCTTATGCAGTAACATCTGTTCTTCGAGATGTGCTCCACTACAGGGTTTGCTAGCAGTAGCTCCTGGTGCACCGCGCATGCACAGAAGCCACCTTGCACCGTTTGTGCCCTTTCTGTGTTGCGCGGTCCGTCCCGCTAGTTCCTCCTAGCCGGAACATCTGAAAGATACAAATACAACAGTTCTGAAGCAGGGAGGAGGGTGGGTTGTGCAGCACCCATGGGGACACACATCTCGAAGAACAGATGTTACTGCACAAGGTGAGTAACACTTTCTTCTTCTTCGAGTAGTGTCCCCGTGGGTGCTCCACTACAGGTGAGTATGAAGCAATAGCCCAGCGTTCATATCGTGCTTTGGAATTATCATCTGTGTACAGAGGAAAGCACTGCTTGAGCCACTGCCACATCTGTAGCCATGATACAATCAAGGGCATAGTGCCTAGCGATGTGGAAGACCAGGTAGCGGCGTGGCATATATCGCGTAGGGGAACATCTTTGAGGAAAGCCATAGAGGTGGCCATACCCCTGGTCGAATGCGCCTTTGGTCTACAGGGCAACGGTTTGTTACGAAGAGCGTAACAGCGAGCGATGCAGTTCATGATATGAGATGAGATGCGCTGTGAAGACAATTGCTGGCCTTTGGAGCGGGTCGCCACTGACAGCAAGAGATGCTGTGACTTTCGGAAGGAGCGCGTCCTGTCCAGGTAGAAGGCAAGTGCTCTCCTGATTTCCAGGGTGTGTAAACAGGCGTCCTCTGCAGTGGAATGCAGCTTCAGGTAGAAGGTGGGAAAAGTAATAGGTTCATTGAAGTGGAACAACGAATTAACCTTTGGCAGAAAAGCTGGGTAGCTACATAATATCACACCCCATTCGGTAAACAATGTATATGGAGGGTGAGCCGAAAGCGCTGACAACTCACTGACGCGGCGGGCCTAAGTGATGGCGAGCAGAAGTGCAACTTTCATAGTGAGAGTCTGTAGGTCGCAAGTCTCTAGCAGCTCAAATGGTGGACGGGTAAGGGTATCCAGTACGAGGCCTAGGTCCCAGGATTCCGGGATGGGGTCAGGTGGAGGATAGAAGTTTGCAATGCCATTCAAGAACCTCTTAGTGAGTGGATGCGCGAACACTGAGGTGTCGTCTATGGGAAGGCGGAAGGCAGAAATCGCCACTAAGTGTACCTTAAGCGAAGAGATTGCCAAGTTTTGTGACCTTAGGTGAAGAATGTAATCCAGAATGTGTTGGAGGGGCACTATTAGAGGATCTGCATTCTTTGACTGACACCAGGCTAGGAAGCGATGCCATTTGTAAAGGTAGGATTTCTGGGTAGTTTGACACCTACTGTGTATTAGGAACTCCTTGACTGCCTGACAGCACACTAACTCCGGTCCTTGGAGCCAGTTAGGAGCCAAGCTGTGAGATGTAGATCGATGCTCGGGTGCAGAAGGATGCCGTGCTGTTGTGAGAGGAAATTGTGCAACTGTGGTAGTCGCCGAGGTTGGGATAAGGACATCCGCATGAGTTGTGGCAACCAAGTCTGTCAGGGCCAAAAGGGTGCTACCAATATCATTGTTGCCCCATCTGCGACAATCTTCCCTATCACCTGTGGTATAAGTGGGATTGGGGGGGGAAGGCATACAGGAGGCGGTGTATTCCCCAATCGAGGAGGAAGGCATCCCCCTGCGATGCGCTGCCTATGCCTGCCCTTGAGCAGTAGGGGCGACACTTCTTGTTGTGTCAAGTCGCAAAAGGTCCATGTCGGGGTAGCCTCAGGTCTCGAAAAGGCTGCAGGCTACTGCGTCAAGCAGCTCCCATTCATGCTGCAAATGAAAGGTTCTGCTCAGAGCATTGGCAATGGTATTGCTCTTGCCTGGGAGATATGTCACCGTGAGTGTAATTCCATGGTGGGTTGCCCAATTCCAGAGGCGAATAGACTCTGCGCAGAGGAATTGGGATCTGGTGCCCCCCTCCTGGTTGATACAGTAGACTGTGCAGATGTTGTTGGTAAGAATTTGTACCGTGGTTCTCTGTATCTCATGGAGGAAATGCCTGCAGGTATTGAACACCTCCTGTAACTCCAGAAAGTTTATGTGAAGGAGGGACTCGTGATGTGACCATATCCCTTGGACCTGGTGATGCTGCATATGTGCTTCCCAGCCAACCAGCGATGCATCTGTGTTGATCTGGACGGATGGGGCTTGAGCGTGAAAGGGGACGCCTGCCAATGTATTGCTCAGATCGAACCACCAGGCCAGGTCGTCCCTCACCCAATTGGGGACAACCACAAGTTTGCGGGTATCGTTGATGCCTGGCTTGTAGATCACGAGCAGCCAATGCTGAAGGCATCTCAGGTGAAGTCATGCATGTAGAATGATGTATATTACGGCTGCTATGTGCCCCCATAGTTTCAGGTATGTAAGTATGGAGGCTTTGGGAGCGGTGAGCAGGATATTTGTTAAGTCCTGGATAGTCTAGGATCTGTTGAGCGGTAGGTACGCAGTAGCAGTCTTGGAGTCCAGTCTTGCTCCAATGAACTCGAGTGACTGGGACGAGATCAAGGAAGACTTCAGTATGTTGATGAGGCCCAGAGCCTCTAATGTGTCTCTGGTTGCATTGACTGCAGGTTGGGCCCCGTCTGCTGTGCGGGCCCTCAACAAACAGTTGTTCAGGTAAGGAAAAATTTTGATGCCGAAATGGCGGAGGTGGGTGGCTATGGCAGCTAAGTTCTTAGAGAAAACTCTCGGTGCTGCCGAAAGGCCAAACGGGAGCACTGTGTATTGATAATGATCGTCGCCCAGTGTGAAATGTAGAAACCTCCTGTGGGCTGGGTGCACGGACACGTGAAAATACACATCCTGGAGGTCGAGGGACGCGAACCACTCCCCTTCGTTCAAAGTTGGAACGATAGAGGCTAAAGTAACCATCTTGAATTTTTGTTTTCTTAGATGACAATTGAGTTTGTGGAGATCCAGGATAGACCTCCATCCTCCGGACTTCTTTAGTGTGAGGAAGTACCACGAATAGAAGCCCCTGCCTCTGAATTCATATGAAACCCTCTCCACCGCTCTGATGGTAAGTAGACGTGCGACCTGCCGCAGCAGAGGTTCGTGAGAGGGGTCCCTGAAAAGGGATGGGGGAAGAGGGGTGGGGGGGGGCAGGGTGGAAAAAGGGATGGTGAGGCCAGAGGTCACAATCTCCCTGAACCACCAGTCTATAGTTATGGCAAACCAGCGGGGATGATAATGTCTCAATCGATGGTGGACTAATTTGGTTACTTTGGAGGAAGCCTCCAGAAGGGGAATAGCACACAGTCCCTCAACTGACACATCAAACTTGCTGTTGGGACTGTTGTTGGGTTGGCGTCTTGGCAGGTTGTTGCCGTCATAGTTGAGGGCGCTGCCTTTGCCTCTGCTGGTCATAAGGTCTGAAGCGAATGGCCTTGTCTGTTGTAGGGTCCAACTTTCCTGCATCTGACGGACGGTGTGTAGATCCCCAGCGTCCTCAGGGTAGTTCAGGAGTCCTTCCCGGAATGGAATATCTGGTCGGCGTTCTGTGCGAATAAGGACCGTCGATCATAAGGTAAGTCCTCCACTTTGGGCGGGAGGTCCTTGGGCACAGAGGCCAGATGAAGCCAGAAAGCACGGCGCATGACCACAGATGTTGCTGTGGTTTGGAATGTCGTGTCTGCGATATCCAAGGAAATTTGAAGTGCAGTACGGGCTGCCGTATAACCAGGGCTCGCCAAGTGGCAGTAAGCCCCGCTCGCCATCCGTGCAGTTTGGCACGCTGCACATGTGCAGACCGCACTGCGCATGTGCTCACCGCACTGCGTGGCTGTGCCGGCTTGTAATCTACTTGCTATGGGCAAGAAGATTACACTAATTGTAGAGCCCTGCGTATAACCCTCCTGCACGACAGCATTGAGGACTTGTTTCTTAGACTTGGGTAAATACTCCATCAGGGCAACCAATTGGGAATAGTTGTCAATGTCATGATTCGCAAGTTGGGCAGAGTAATTGGCCATTCTCAAGGTGGCTGTAGCTGACGAATAGACCTTTCTTGCTTCCTTGTCAAGAGCTGTGTTCTTGCCTTGTGCAGTTTTTTACTTCTGCTGTGCAGCCTCAGCTACAATGGAATTGGGTTGGGGATGCGTGAAAAGAAACTCTGCATCCTTAGCATCAATTAAGTATTTTTTATCAGTGCATTTGTTCGTTGGTGACACGGAAGCTGGGGTCTGCCAAATGTCATTGTATAGCTCTGAAATTGCTTCATCAAAGGGGAGAGCCAGCTTTGATCTGTTCGAATGTTGCAAAATTCTCAGAAGAGCATGTTATTTCTGAGGAGCTTCGGAAGTGCGCAAGTTCTGTGAGTGGGCCACTCTTTTGAATAATTCTTGGAATTGCTTATAGTCATCTACAGGGGAAGAGTTGTCATTGAAAACTGCATCGTCTGGTGAGGAAGATGATAGATCACTTGGAGAGTCCACCTGCTGTTGCTCAATGGTGAGAGACTGGCTATTGTCCCCTTGATGGGTAGAAGTCAATGGAGCATCACCCATGGGCGTTGGGGGGACCTGCCTGGGGGGAGGATGTCCTGAGACGGCAGCTGTGGTGAGTGAGACCGAGGACGCTCCAGTGACACAGGCAGTGAATGAACCCCGGTGGAAGAGTGTGGGCAGTCCCGGTAGTAAGAGGTATATCAACTACCATGATGATGCCCATGGTGTGAGTGTCGAGGAGAGTACGAGCTCGCAGTCCTATATTGGTAGTAGTGGGAACAAGTAGGGGACACAGGAGATCGTGATCATAGTGAGTAATGCGACGGGGATCGCGAGTAATACAAGCAGTGATAATGTGGAAGTGTGAGGGATCATCGTGGGGTCCTCCAATATCACCGTGAGGGTGATCAGTAGCGGCCATAATCACGTCTGTCACAGTGAGGTGAGGGCAAAGGCTCAGGAGAAAACACAGCCCTGTCCGGGCTGGGCGAAGGAGTATGCACGTGCCTAGTTTTCCTCTGGGTTTTGGTAGGTTCCCTGGTATTTGGTGGAGGGACTATGGGAAGCGGGCTACCCGGTACAGAGATCACAGATCTGGACTCGGACAGCTCCCGGCCCATGGATGGTGATCTGGGCGCCAATGTCAGTGATGCCGGTGCTGTGCCCACGTCTGATGGCCCAGGCTGCACTGCTTCAGCAAGTGGTGTCGGTTCGGTTCTCAGGGCCGGCTCTGACCTTGGTGCTGTCTCCCTCTTCTTGGTGCTATCTTGCAAGGTGCCGATTTTGGTGCCATTTCTGTGTGACGCTCTCGGTGCTCTCTCGTGTGGTGCCAATTTCGGTGTCATCTCTCTGTGCGCCACTTTCGGCGCCGGTTTGGCACCGTTGGCAGAGCAGACTCGCTGCTCGGTGCCGGTCTCGGTGCCAACTCAGTTCTCGGCACCATTGGCAGTGCCACGTCAGGTGCCCGTGCCATCTGGCTCCGTGGTGCCACTGTTGCTAGTGCTGATTCAGGGCATGGTGCCACACGCGACGCCGGTGCTAACATAGATGAAAGCGTGGGGCTAGGCGCCAAAGTACTGTGGGCCTTGACTGACTTCCCCGCGCTGTGTCTCGGCGGCAGCCCAGATGTGCTCAGTGCATCTCCCGCACTTACACTCCCGTCACGGAGTGGAGTTTTTCCTCTCATGGGACTTACGTAGCATTGGGGTGTCCATTTGTTGCCCCGCCGGTGACAGTTGAAGCGCTTTGTTAAAAAGCAGCAATTTAAGCCACATTTCCTTGTCCCGCCTGGCTCAGTTTGGAGCAGTGGCCACACTTTTGGGGAATATGGCCTTCCCCCAAGCACCAGATGCATCGGGAGTGGCCGTCCGACGCTGGCATAGTGTCACCACATGATGCGCACTTTTTGAAGCCTGGGGAGCCGGGCACGTTGTACATTGTCTGTCAGGCTTGGCCTAAGCCTGCCTGTGGACCAACAGTAACTACTAAGATACATAATTTTTTTTTTAAACTACACTAACTAACTATGAACAGTAAACTAAATCAACTACAACTATGAGGAAGGGGGCTAAACTGGGACGAACGAGTAATGCTGTTCTCATTTTCTTTTCAGGGCGGAGGTAAGAGCTCGTCCCAACTCCATCTGTGACCGTGGATGGTTAGGAGGAATTGACAGGACGGACCGTGTGATGCAGAAAGGGCGCAAGGCAGCTTCTGCACATGCTTGCTCCACCGGGAGCTACTGCTAGCAAAACTCTCTGGACTGTACCCTGATGAGGTTCAACAAGGACAAGTGCAGAGTCCTGTACTTGGGACGCAAGAATCCCAAGCGTTGTTACAGGCTGGGGACCAACCAGGTAAGTAATAGTTCTGCAGAAAAGGACCAGGGGGTAATAGTGAATGAGAAGCTGGATATGAGTCAACAGTATGCCCTTGTAGCCAAGAAGGCTAATGGCATATTAGATTGCATTAAGAGAAGCATTGCCAGCAGATCCAGAGATGGGATTATTTCCCTTTATTGGGCTCTGGTGAGGCCACATCTGGAGTACTGTGTTCAGTTCTGGGCTCCCCACTACAAAAAGGATGTGGACGCATTGCAGAGGGTCCAGCGGAGGGCAACCAAAATAATTAGGGGGCTGGAGCATATGACCTACGAGGAGAGGCTGAAGGGGTTGGGTCTGTTTAGTCTGCAGAAGCCAAGAGTGAGGGGGGATTTGATAGCAGCCTTTAACTTCCTGAAGGGAGGTTCCAAAGAGGATGGAAAGGCTGTTCTCAGTAGTGACAGATGGCAGAACAAGGAGCAATGGTCTCAAGTTGTGGTGGGAGAGATCCAGGTTGGATATTAGGAAAAACTATTTCACTAGGAGAGTGGTGAAGCACTGGAATGGGTTACCTAGGGAAGGAACAGAGACTCCATCCCTAGAGGTGTTTAAGTCTCGGCTTGACAAAGCCCTGGCTGGGTTGATCTAGTTGGGATTGGTCCTGCCTAGAGCAGGGGGCTGGACTTGATGACCTTCTGAGGTCTCTTCCAGCTCTATTGTTATATGATTCTATGACTAACCTGAAGGAGTTCCCAAGAAAGTAGTAGCGAAATGCGTCCACCACCCACTTCAATGTCAGGGCTTCCTTTTCTATAGTTGAGTAGGTCTGTTCTCGTCGAACAACTTCCCACTTAAATAAAGTACAGAATGTTCTTCACTGTCCACCTCCTGGGCTAGAACTATCCCCAGTCGCACCTCTGATGCATCCGTATGTAAAACAAACTCCTTTGAGAAGTCTGGCTGCGTCAGCACAGGGGCTTGGGTTAAACAATCCTTCAAAGTTTGAAAAGCGTGGGCACACTGGGCAGTCTATTGTAACTTTTTGGGCTGTGAGTTCTTGCTCAAGTCTGTTAAGGGGACTGCTATTGATGCAAAACCTGGTACGAATGCCAGTAATAGCCCGCTAACCCCAGAAACTGTCATACCTGTCTCTTTGTGGGCGGGTTTTGGAAGTTTCTCAGGGCGCTTACATTGTCTACTAATGATTTTAATTTGCCTCTTCCCACCATATACCCCAGATATGTTACCTCCTGTTGTCCTAAGAAACACTTCCCCAGATTAGCCCTCAGCCCCGCCTCTCCCAGTGTGTCAAGCACTACCTCCAGGCGCTGGAGGTGTACTGACCAAGATGAGCTATATACCACAATATCATCAATGTAGACCGCTGCAAATGATTGATGCCCCTGCAGAACCTTGTCCATTAATCTCTGGAAGGTCACTGCGGCCCCATGCAGCTCGAAGGGCATAGTTATAAATTGGTACAGCCCAAAAGTAGTATAAAACGCTGTCTTTTCTTTAGAAGCTGGGGTTAGGAGGATTTGCCAATACCCTTTGGTCAAGTCTAGGGTAGATATATACTGGGCGTTCCCCAGCTGTTCCAGGAGCTTGTCCACCTGGGGCATAAGGTACATGTCAAACCTGGAGATTGCATTCACCTTTCGGAAGTCTATGCAGAATCGGACTGTCTCGTCTGACTTGGGGACGAGTACTATTGGGCTTCTCCACTCACGTCTGGACTCCTCGACAACTTCCGTTCGTAGCATATTTTGTAATTTTTCCCAGACCGTGTTCCACATTTTGCGGGGTAGGGGCCATACCACATACATACCTTATGGCCAGGTCGAGTGGCAATATGGTGGCTTGCCCATGTGGTCCTGCCGGGGTACGCTGAGAGGACTTGAGTGAATTGCTGCATGATTCTCTGGAGCTCCGCTCACTGGGAATCGGTCAGATCTCCCCCAAGCCGCCCTGGTTCCACTATAGCAAAGTCCCCACTCCATGGGCCCAGTTCAACTTCTTCGGGGCCTGGCGCTATCCCTCCTTTTCCCCGAAGCTGAATTTCAGTCTACCTGACCCATCTGGTGTAGAACCTCGAAGGGCCCTTGCCACTTGGCTAGTAACTTGGATTCCTTACTGGGGAGTAGAAGCAACACCCGGTCCCCCGGCTTGAATTCTGTTTTTTGCCCCCCAGTTATAATAATATGCCTGCCCATCTTGGGCTCGTAGCAAATTAGCCGTGGCAAACTCCCCGAGCTGCTGCAGCTTTTCCCGCAACTGCAATATGTACAGGACCGATGCCACCACCTGGACTCATGTTTTTGTTAAACCGCTCCACTAAGCCATCAGTTGGGGGGTAATAAACGGACATTCTTAAGGCTTTGATGTTCAGGAACTAACAGAGTTCTCCCATCATCTTAGAAGACACATTCATGCCCCGATCCATTAGTATCTCCCGAGGGATTCCCACCCATGTAAAGATTTTTACCAACTCAGTGGCCAATGTGGGGGCGGTGGTATGTCGTAAGGGCATGGCTTCTGGATACCAGGTAGCATAATCCACCAATACCATGATATATTGAAACCCCACCCTTGATGGGTCTAGAGGGCCCACTAAGTCAAAGGCCACATGCTCGAAGGGGATGCCTATAACTGGTAATAGAACCAGGGGGGCTTTAGGCACATTCCCCGGTTGGGTCCTCTGACATTTGGGGCAGGATTCACAAAACTTTTGCACTCACAAATGCCTGGCCAAAAAAACCTCTGGGTAATCCTCCTCAGCATTTTCTTTCTCCCCAGATGGCCTGCCCACGGGTGGCATGGGCCAGCTCTAAGATGTGTGACCGGTAACTGCTGCATTTGCATATTTATTGTGCAAAACAGCACAGTATAGACATAGCCTAACTTTTTAGCTTGGAAAAGAGATAACTAAGGGGGACATATAATAGATGTCTATAAAATCATGACTGGTGTGGAGAAAGTAAATAAAGAAGTACTATTTACTCCTGATAAACACAAGAAATAGGGGTCACCAAATGAAATTAATAGGGAGCAGGTTTAAAACAAACTCAAGGAACTATTTATTTACACAATGCATAGTCAGCCAGTGGAACTTTTTGCCATTGGTTGTAGTAAATGCCGACTAGTTTGAAGCGCTCAGTCACATCTCTCCCCACTCTGAGGCTTTTCACCCCAGAAGATTAAGGAGGGGTTACTGTAGCACCTACTTAGGTCCCCCATAGCTCATCTATCAGAGCTTGTAATGTAAAAGGGAACAAAATGAATATTTGAATGGTACAGTAAAACAAGGATCTTTATTAACTAAGGTGCATCTACATACCAGTTATTTCAAAATAACGGCCATTATCTCAAAATAACAATGTGAGCATCTACACAGCAATTCCATTATTTTGAAATAATTTTGGCATAACGGACAGCTTATTTTGAAATCTGTAAACCTCATTCCATGAGGAAAAACACTTATTCCTAAATAGCTATTTCAGAATAGCACTGCTGCTATTCCGACACTCCACTGCTGCTATTTCGAAATAGCTCCTCCCCAGAGCCATTCAAAGAAATTGCTCCTCAGTGCCTCCTGGGGCTCTAAATCCAGGTAGCATGTCCACATTAGGGAAGCCTGCCTCAGACTAATTTTAAGGCTTGCCTGTAGCATAGACATGTATTTCAAAATAAGCTATTTCAGAAAAAATCTTATTTTTTAAAAGGGTGTTCTGTGTAGACATGCTGTCACAGGGCCGACTCACCGGTAGGATGCCTCCAGCTGGTTGCTTTAGAAATTCACTAGTTGTTTCACTGGACACCTCCCTGAAGCGGGTGTATCCCTGTGTACCTTTTGACCACGGTGTCCTCTTCCAGGCAATGCCCTCAGGGTCCTCTCCAGAGACCGCCAGTTCCATCAGAGAACACCCAGCGCCCCTGTACCCATCGTGCCTCAGTGACCTCCTGCCAGTCTTCATCTAGCCCCTGCTTCAGGGGCAAACTGCAGACTGTAATGGCCACTCATCACCGGCAAAGTGGTGTGGACCTGCCGTCCCTGCCTACCAGGGCTGCCTCTCTGCCCCCTTAGTAGCCTTGGGTCTTGCTCCAAACTCTGCAGCCTGGGAGCTTGCTTAGCCAGAGCTTTCCCCAGCCCTGTCTTCCTTCCCCCAGCACTGCTCTACCTCTTAGGAAGGCTCCTGCTTTCCTGGCACTCAGGTCTCTACTGCCCTCTCCCCTGAGCAACAGTCAGTTCCTCTTTATATAGTCCCCAGCTGGGCCCTCATTAGTAGAGCTGCCTCAGCTGGGACTTCGCTCTCCGCCCTTACTCCGGGCTGGGGTTTTGCCCTTAAAGGACCAGTGCAGGGCAGCCACCCTGTCACACATACCCTAAGAGAAGAAGGGGAAGGGAGAAAAAAAGCCTAATGTTGTTGGATATCGGCTATGGTTATAACATCAAACGTACATTCATAGAAATCAAACAAGAGGCTGATGACATGCTTTCTCTACCTTTCTCCAGATGTTGTCAGGAAGTCAGGGTTCAAAGACAGAATTGCCATGCTGGGATGAAAAACTGACCAGGATTAAGAGATAAGTACGGGGCCCTATCTGATATTCACCCTATCCCCTTTGTGCTGTCCTGCAGGTGAATTTGCCCTGATTACTCACAGAATTCATGAAAGCATGTAGGCTTCCTTCAAAATTAACTTGATGGTTCCCTAATATATCCCTACGACAGTCAAATAAACAGTCATCTAGGCCAGGCAACCAGAGTTTACCAGAGAACAAGTTAATGGCCCCTGCTCTCTTCTCAGCTCAGAGGAGAGTGAGAGAGCAAGCCCTTAACTATTGCATCACACTCATTATTATTATCTCATGTTGCTAAGCAACAGCCAATGTTATTCCCACCTTTTTATACTCTCTTCCTGCCTTTTCTTATAGGAGGAAAGAAGAAGCTTCTCCAACATAGAGAACCTTGTTCCTATAGCCCATCTAACATGGCTACTTTAATAAACATTACTTTTCATCTAAACTTCAAGTATCTTTTTCATAATTTGGTAAAGGCAGCATTTAACAATGTTGTGAAGGCCAATAAAAGAAGTAGGTAATTTTATGGCGGGTCAGTGGCTATTAGCCAGGATAGCCCAAATGCAAAACCATGTTCTGAAGTGTTTCTAACCTGCTTGCCAAAAACTGGGTGTGGAGGACAGGGGATGTATCACTTGATGATTTCCTGTTCTTTTCATTCCCTCTGAAGCACCTGGCATTGGCCACTATTGGAAGACAAGATACTGGGTCAGATAGACCATTGGCCATTTTTCCAAAAAAACTTCAATTACGTCCACACTGCAATCACGTTCTTTTGAAAGAAAATAGAAAGAACAGAGGGGTTTTTCCAGCACTGGTAATCTTTTTTCTACAAGGAAGAAGCCTTTTTCTGAAAGAGCTCTTTTGGAAAAAGGTGTGTATGAAGAGGAAGTTCTTTCGGAAAAAGAGGAAAGAGGAAAAAGCACAGGTGCCCTGGTCGCCACTCTGTCCATAGTAATCACAGTTTAAATGCGAGTCAGCATCCATTCAGCATAGACGCTATCTTTCAAAAAAGCAGATAGTTTTTTGATGCGCTTTGGCAGTGTAGATGTTCTCTTTTGGAAGAAGTTTTTTTCGGAAGATCTCTTCTGGAAAAGCTTCTTCCGAAAGAAGCCTGCAGTGTAGATGTAGCCTCAGTATAGCTATTCTTATGTTCTTAATTTGGGGTTTTTTGAAGGCTTCATATAACTCATGACCCACAGTATCCATTCAACTGACATCTTTAGCTATCTCATCACTAAAGACTTCTCTCATCATTATATTAATGATCTCCTCTATGTCATACATGAATGGATTATTAGTATGAACAAACTAACTTGTAACTTTAAAACTAACTCTTGGCATTTAAAAGAACCCAGTGAGTCTAATTACTTGACTACTTTTGAGGAAGCCATCCCAGCTACACTTAACATTAAGGTTTGAAATATCCTGATTAGAAATGGTCTCAAAGAAATAAAGACCAATATGGAAATCTCATGAGAACTGTTTTTGTCAAAAGGCAATTTTATTTTAATAAAATTTCTTGATTTTTTATTTTAATACAACTTCTTGGTTAACAAACTCAACCAATGCTAGTCTCTACTCAAGAAGCTTGCAAGGCACTACTAGTTTAAAGTCTGCATATAGGGATGATTAGAAATGGTCTCAAAGAAATAAAGACCAATATGGAAATCTCATGAGAACTGTTTTTGTCAAAAGGCAATTTTATTTTAATAAAATTTCTTGATTTTTTATTTTAATACAACTTCTTGGTTAACAAACTCAACCAATGCTAGTCTCTACTCAAGAAGCTTGCAAGGCACTACTAGTTTAAAGTCTGCATATAGGGAAGG